TCGGGTTCTTTAAGATATCTTAAAAACTTGTACTTTCACAACATTTCTAAATAAAGCTGCGATATGTTATTTTTCTGGCTTGAATTATTTCACACGTGGTGAACGAGTCTTTAGGTTTTTACCTGTGCTATTTAAGATGGTGAAGAATCGCTTATACTTGGGTTGGTGACAGTAATGGTCTTGCTTGAGTGGAATATGACGATTTTTTTATCAACTTGGCGTGAACTGGAAAGTTTGTTTATATGTGAATACAAATCGAGGAAGAATTATTATTTAATAATAATTCGCTAGGAAAACATACAATAATAGCAATCATTCCTCAGGCATTTGCTGTTAAATAGAGAACACTATGATGAAAAAGCGCCTCCAGCAGATAAAAATGTATTCTGCTTTTATTAAATCCAAAATGGAAATTCGCTCATGTAAATATTCGAAATAATATTTTTCGTTGGATTTTGGATGAACAAAAAATTAGTTGCATATTATCAATAATCTCTTTGTTTACAAAGGGACTATTATTTATTAATAGAGAATAGAATAGATTGAATACGAAACACTATTGCATATATTTTATATACACTGTGTCAATTTTAAAACTTGCAATCGGCAATTTCTCTCAACTGAAAAAGTTATTAATAATCACTCAAAACCGTTTTGGTGGTTCCTAGGGGGAATTAAAATGACATGATAAGTGATACACCTCCACCCACCCTTGAATATAGTAAAAAAAATGAAAATTTAACGTCTTCGTTTTCGAATAATTGGAAAAATAACTTTACCAAATAGGCTGTTGTATGACATTTTTGAAAAGCGCTTTTTATGGGCTTTCCAACGATGTCTCGCAAGTAGGGTCGTGCCATTTAAAATTTTCAACTTAAGGTGGCTGTGGCTTGAAGGGTGGGCGGAGGGGCGTCACTTATCATGCCATTTTGATTCCCCCTAAAAACTACCGAAACGGTTTTGAGTGATTCTCAATAACTTTTTTAGTTCTAGAGATATTGGCGATTGCAAGTTTTAAAATTGACACCCTGTATATATTTTCAACTAGAGAAAACACGATGCTATTTTTTTTTGACATGATCTTAAAAATTTACTACAAAATAGAAACATCTTTATTTTTGTAAGTTATGTTTTATTTACTTTTTTGTTAGCGCAAAAATGATGGTTCTAACCTCAGCTGTTTTATAAAAATAAGGACGTGAAAGTGCATTTACAGGTTGAAGAGACACCGAAGAGGCCAGAAGCAATTTTTCTAGCTACTGCATTGGAAAAAGTTAGCTTCCGGTCGTAACATTTCCCATAGCCATTTCCCTTGGCATAATGAGCTTAAAATTAGTTAATTGGTGTAAAACGGCGCTTATTTAGTCTAGACTAGTGCATACTAATCTTCTTGGCCTCAAAATAAAAACCGCGCCTCTACTAATCGACCACTAGACAACCGGAGGCGAAGTATGGCGCAGTTCAGACCCGCCAGAGTGCACCGCTTAGAATTCAAATTCAAGAATTTTGCCTGTGGTTTCATATATCGTCGGAATTCATTATGCAAACCACCCTCTCAACGACAATTACCAAAGCAAGTATTTTATTTATTTCCTGTCTGTGCGGATGAAGCCGTTAAAACAGCAAACAAGTTTGTTTGATTTTGAAATTCCGTCATTACCATTTACTCTCCGGGTCGATAAGACAGACAATGCAGTTTATACCAAACACAGCCTGAAGTCGAGTTGGAATTTTAGTGTGCTTAGGCTTGACAACTGAGTGACGGCAAGGATGCACCTTCACATGTTTTGTTTCTTGTTGCATCGCCGACTTCCCAACTTCGTCGAACGTCAAACTGTCGGTAGTTCGAGCACAAATTAATGAGACGTTTTAACTAATTACATAACTGATCAAGCCAATGGCATTTCATTATCACCAATATTCTGGTTTTTAGCTCAAAAATACACAATGGGACAATGCTAACGAGCCTCCTTGAGTCGACACCCACCACAGACTGACTCACAGATCTTTTATGTAACATGACATTTTACTACATACATAACGTACAAGCATTAATTTTATAATGAAATAATTTCTTATACAGCAAAAATTTAGAGTTGCCAAAGAAAGCTGAACCAGAAAACCACTAATGGTGATTATAATGCGACAATTTTTGAAAACAATTCATTTGCTACAAAAGGTAAAGCTGTTAAAATTGCAATAGAAGGCTGAAAGCGTTCTTGCCAATTATGCTCGTGGAAAAAAGCTCATTATTACCCTGCTAGGGCATGACTTATTGCGGTTAATGAAAATTAATTTGTATACATCGCCATGCATCGTGAACCACACGAGGACTACGCTTACATAATAAAGCTTTAGTGGCATGCAATAATTTGTGCAGTAAATACGAAATAACTTAAATTGAAATAGAAATTTCTAGTGGAAGTAAATCCGCGAAAAATTACATTAGGTAAGTACAAAAGCTTGACTGACTGGCAATAATAAAAGTTTGAAAACTTTAATTAGTGAGAATAAAGTTCCTGGACGGGTCTGGATTGTTAATTAAAACTTAACATTTTAATTAAAAATCTAATTGTTTTTATGTAATTCGTTAAATTTGATTTAACTTGTTACTGAAGCGATGTCGAAAACTTTGTTAAAACACTTGCGTTATTTATAATGGTCATTTTTCAGGGAGAATAGAGATTATTGGATAACTGGATCGGTGACAGTTGTCTTGACGAATGTCAAGATGTGATGGAGACGGATTGGAACGTTTGCATTTATGGAAAACTCACAATAATAAATTAACTGAAGTCTAGATCACTTCAGCGGCTGATGTTTGATGTATATTGGATAATTCTGATTTATTTACAGTCATTGAATGGTATACGTATTTACTCCATATGGATGGATGTCTTCTGCCAGCAAATGAGAAAGCTTCGAATTGAATTTAAAACTTCAATGACTTATTTTTAAATCAAGAAATGCAAGTATAAAGTCATCACACAACTTGGCAAATCGCTCCCATTTACTCTAAAACATATAGAAAAAAACATATAAAACATATACCGTTTTATATTTTTGAACAAAAACACGATATTAATCGTGTTTTTGTTCATCGTTTCCATACCAAGAAGATCCAAGAAGAAGAATTTTATATTTTTGTTTAATTTTTATTAAAACTTAGATTTTCAAAAATTTGTTTACGACATCTAAGTATATAAATAAACAAAGTTTATGTAGCAATAAAAGTTGATTTCATTTATAACTTTTTTTATTATTTTTGAGCTTTAGAAGTTAACTGTTCCCAATTCCCCCACTCTTCCCTAAACTCACTAATTTTGGGTCCCGTAAAGATTTTTTAACAAAATAACTTAAGATGTTATTAAAAGATTCTGCCGATTAGTGTGTTGTTCTAAAGTCTTTAAGAATAGAGACTAATTACTACGAAAATGCATAATTTGAAACAACAAAATAAATATGCAACTATGAATAAAATGTAATGTGTATGTTTATAACAAAATTAAATTATATTCAAAGCCATCGGTACTTGAACCTTGTTTTGACTATTCCAAATTTGGTTTAATTTTAATCCAATTTCTAGTATTTTCTTAGTATTATTAGAAGTGTACTCATTAGTGATTAAAAAAGATGATAAAAAGCGTTGTAACACGATAATTTTAATTGCAAGCTTTCTATTCTAATACACACCATATTTGTAGACTTTAGAACCATTTCTTTTTTTATAGTATTAGTATTTTGGAGAGAAAAAATAGTGTCATGACGACTTTGTCCTTTTTATTTATAGTCAAAAATCCTGTGATAAAGGAAAACAACCAATCAGAAAAGAATTCTCTGGTTTAAGTTTTGCAAAAACAGAGTCTTTGAACCTGTGTTTAGAACTTTGACATTAACACATTAAAATCTAATCTGCTTACCATTCTGCTATAAAAACAAAGAAAAAATGTGTTTTACTGTTTTACTCATATAACACAATTTCATTAATTCAAAGACAATGGCAGTGGAAATATCATTACAGTGATAGAAAGTCAAAAAAATAAACAGAAGAAGAAGATGAACTTGGTCAGAGGAAATAAAAATAAAAACAAACTTTATTGCTTTAAGTACGATATTTTCACTGGTTAGAGATATGACGACCAGAAGTATAAAAGTAAAATTTGCATTAAGTGTCTTTCTAAAGTTAAATCGCTTATCTTTAATGTGGTCAAGAGTGTAAAGATGTTGGAGACTGATACTTTCTCACATTCTGGTTATTATTTTTGAGTAGTTACACGCAAATTTATTCTGACAAAATGTGATTAAATTCCTTCAACAGCCCACCTGAAGGGATGATCGATTTGAATCTCCCTTATTTCGGTTATGACAAGGTTTCCCAAAAACCCAACAATGACATCACATTTTTTACTAACCAATTTTACACCCAACGAATCCACAAAACAAACAACGAACCTTAAGCCATACCTGATCTATTCAAAATGGGAATCGTTTACCTGCCTCTGATGGATTCTCAGATAGAAAGTTTTAGCCTGAACCGGACGATTTTACTCAAGCTATTTAGCCAAAGGGTAGAAACCAAAACATTTATTTCGATAACTCACACTTTTCGTTAAATCAGTCCTGAAGAAACGACACCCACGTGGTGCCGATCCATTATGTAAACAATTAAAGGCAATTAGCGTTGAGCCAGTTTCGCCAATTGGGAATTCCAAAACGGGAGAAGCTAATTTGCAAAATTTGTTTTTGTAAACAAAGGCCAACAAGTTACTGAATTTTTGACTTCAGTTTGGTCGCTTGCGTCTTTTTTCTTCTTGTCTTTGGCAAAATAACTCCGCTGGAGCGTTGTTTACGATCTCAATTTCGAAAATAATTTGCGAAATCTCATTTGCGGCTCTTCTTTGGTTCCTCCGGCGTCGAAAAATACCGTTAGCGAAAAAATCAACAACAACGTCCGGAAAGTAACCCACCCCGTGGCAATAGCAACTTTATACAGAACTCACCGCTTGGGGCACGAGGGCTCCAGTGTGACGGGTCCTCGATTCTCCACGGTGGGGACGCGTATCAACTCCTGGGGGAAAATGTTGGCGACGGTTCCCACCCTTAGCACGTGACCGTGACTTAACACACGCGATCTTCGCCGGCCTCGTCGACAACATGCACCTCTCACGAAGGTCCTCCTCGAACTGCCGATCGCGTCTAACTGACTGTTGGTCGGAGCGACGGCCGCCTCAGGCTTCCAACCGGAGCGTTTCTATGCCACGGTCTTTTTGTTGCAGGCGAGTTGGGTTAATAATCCTGCGGGCTGCAGGCACAGTCCAAACCGAACCGGTGCTACGTTGCGGGTATCAGGTTCAGGAGGAACGCGAACCCTTTTATGTTTGAGAAGAGCGCAAACAAGATGGGAAGGATACCTGGGGCAGACGCTGAAAGCGCTCTCTAGGAGGTCATGCAGAAGGGCGAACCGGTTGTGTAAAGAAACTTTTTGTGGGAGTACATGGCAAAAATCATTCGTTTCCATATTGGTCTGAAATTTTGATAAAAAAATTGTTAAATGAATGGAAGTACACAATTAATTACGAAAACGACAAAATGGAAATGGAAATATAATTTTCGGTCGTGAAAAAATTTCTGGAAACTATTTGAATTAATGATGTTTACTATGAGAGCGAGGTGGAAGGTCAAGGTGAAATATAGTGGAGCTAAGCTACACTGAACTCTTTCTGCAAACGATTGAGTTACAGAGGTTGGAGGTTATCAAGTTGGAGGTCTTGAAAGCTGTTGTATAGATAAGTCATCCTCTTGGTAGCCAAAGTTAATGCAATGAAAATGTTTACATCATGCCGATGGTTGCCTTAAAGATACTTTATTAAGTAATTTCTTGTTCACATAATGTTATTAAGATATTATTGAAAATACTTGAAAATTTTCTTATACGACAGTACTTTATTGTTATACTTCGTACTATTTGTATGGCTATTTCGTCACTTTTCATAATGTTTTTTCTGTATCAAAAAGTTCAGTAGTGACAGAATGGCAATATAAAAGTCTAGAAATATAAAGATGTTTTAAGTAAAGTATTTAGACCAGAAATTTGAACTGTCGATTTTTTACCATGATTACATTTGTTACTGTGTTGTGATATATCAATTAGTATCAACAAGCTTCTTAATGCCCAGTTTCTGGAACATTATTTGTGTTTCTATTGCAATAACTATAGAACCAATAAAATTAAGACTAATTCGAATTTTTGATATAAAAGTGATGGTAACATTTTCTTTCAAACTTTTTCTTATCAGAAGACAAACTCTTGATCTTTATTGTTTAGTAAACTTTGACAGAGCTGTTGTTGTTGTCCTGTTTCCACACAGTTAACTTGCAAACTTATAAACATGTTTAATAAAAACATAAATTGCCTTGATGTATGTACTTCTCTTCCTGTAAGAACTAGAACTTAAAACTTATAACAATAAACTGACATGCTGTTATTGACGTCGTTCACGTGTATAAGAAATTTTAGACCTTAGGTGTTTGCTATCGTGTGATCTTGCAAAAGCCTGAGGGTTTATGCAATATTTATTAAATTTCTCAACTACATATTACAAAAATATAAAAAAGCGATTGCGGTAGATTTACTAAGCAATTTTGTTTAGATATATAGCTACTGTTTCAAAAGTTTTCATTCATGTTCACCGAAAGCACACTTATGAATCAATTTACTCAAAAATATTGCACAATTTCATTAATTCTATTCTCGAGTTACATTCCTATTTCATATCTGAATTACGACCTTATCTTCTCTCTCCAACTTTAGTTAGTTAATAGTTGGTTTTGTTTATGTTCACATTCATCTTTGATATTCAAATCATATAATTATTCCGTCGTCCAATGCTATTAGCTATTATTATTTCAACAATTAAGGCCGATAACTGCCTGGGGAGTGACGTTTAGAACACCTGTATATGGAAATAATTACGTTTTTTGGTGAGGAAAAAAAATAATTAAGACACTAACTTAGAAATAAAATCAGATGCAATATTTCACCCGTTGAAAAATTGTTTGTTGATTAAAATCTGAATCTTTGGTTTATTCTAATCTCTATGTTAATTTAATACTGTCTAATTTTACTCACAGATTCTTTTTTTAATTGACATCAGATGGTTAGCATCATGTCTTCAGGTGAAAGTTACTAGTTAACCACTGAATTAAGTAGCGCCTATGGCTCGAACAGTGGAGATTATGATTAATTGTAATTAATTTAATGGCATCTAATTATAATTTGTGAAAACTCTGCCATAATCATAGGATACTTTTTCGTGATTTATTTTTCATTGAACATTATTGCTGTTTTCATTTAGGTATTATTTCTTATTTTCAATAAGTAAATTTTAGTTTGGCAGATTGTGTACTTATACTTAATTCTATATTCTTTAGTAAATGATAGCCCTCAGCATTCACGAATTTCGATTAATATCGTTTGCTCCCTTTGGGAAATTTTTATGTAGATTTAATAAAAATCGTAATTTTTCGATTTACCCATTAGTATGTTTAAATAATCTCTGTTAAACTTATACCTCCAGGTGTTTAAAATTTTCAGAAAGTTCGTAGTATATATAACAGGGCGTTAACTCTTGGATCGCCTGGAGGATTAAATACATAAATACATCTTTCAATGTACAGGCGATCGACCTCCCGCCACAAATTCGGCCAATAAATTGCCGGTTAAAAAATACATTCTTACAGAATGTATAGTTAGCAAAATCGAAAAGCCAATGAAAAATCACACAACCAAGCGATAATTTTCCCATCTAAGGATCACTTATTCAAACGGAGTTGTGTGAATACAAGTTGCAATTAAACCTTCGCCACATTAAAGGTAATTATTGGCGACTTTGCGCATAAATCTGATACAATGACGCTCTCTGTGGTTAACAAACACAAAAGACGAGCGTTTTAGAGATGAATCGGATTTTTAGTCCTGCGGATATGCAAGAAGAGAGTTCTATTTAATATGGGAAACAAGGGCGTCGAATGTAAAAGGGGCACTAAAACTGAAAATGATAAACATAAAAAGGAAGAGATTGAACTCTGAGAATCGATTAAGCACGCTCTTGAAACTGTTATTGATCAGTGGATGCAGGTGAAATTTAAGATCCAATTTAGCTTTAGGACAAAAATTTTAATTTACAGACTTGCATAAGAGCGCACAAGCATTTATACATACAATTACGTTTATGATATGAATTGCTTTTGCATGTATGTAACTTTGGACCGAGGCAAAATATTTATTAAAGATATAGCCCAAGCTTTCCCGTTTTATTTATTTGTTAACTACTGCGAGTATTTTATAGAAACATTTATACTTTGGTTGTCAATTATTATTGCTTACCTACTTTTGAAAACGTCAGTGAAAAAAAGTAATAAAAGTTTAATGGGAGACAAAAAAAATACTATTACATTAATTGAAAAAGAAATATTTCATTCTCAACAGTGAAGAAGCAATTTTCTAATAGTAGGTATAGCCTTGGTCTTAAATTTGAATCTGCTACTAAGCACAAGTTATTATATTTTTATTTATACACTAGGAGAATGTTTGGTCACAAGACGACAGTTCGAGTGAACCAAATTGATAAAATGTACGTGTCTTTAATTATGAGTGGCATACAACATTTTTCCAGTTACAATAGTCGCATTCTGTAATTGCGCTCTTTATTATTTATTGTAGTGTTGTACCTACTAGAAAATTTTAAAACTGGAATAAAAATAATTTTTACATAACACAAGTTGTGTTATTTTCGTTATCATCGGGTATTTATGCATATTCTAATCGACGCCCCTGTCTGTTGTTATTAGTATCCTCATCCAGACAAAGCGCCCACACTTGAGCCATATATCATATCAGCGTCAGTTTTGCGAACGGGCGGTACGCCTGTTTATATTTTATCGGTACTGGAGGGCCCCCCGGCTATCCTGGAAATTATGTGGCACGGAACGAGGTTGGCCGGATTCGCCTGCAGCCCCTAATAGCAACCCTGAAACGCTCGCAGCGACGGCGAAGTCACCCACCGATGCCATCGAGACACGTTAAATAATCGCTTCGAACCGCTTTTATCAAATACGTATTCTAATATTTTCGAGATTATATTGACTATCATTTCTAGGTCTACGAGTTGTGGGAATAAAAATTGCTTTGTTTGTTCGAATTAACTCGAGGTAAACGTTTACTTACCAAACAGGGAATACTAAATAGACTGTGTACTCGCGTACATGGACGAGTGTCAGAGATGAGTATTTGAATTGTGTTAGAAAATGTCGGCAAATTTGACTTGTTTTCAAAGTGTTTGCTAGGATAATAAGATACCACTTTAACTTAGACTTAATAAAAACAAAAAATATGCAAACAGTAAATACGAGTATCTATCCTACTGCCTATAAATAAAAACGCCATAATTTAATTGTATTGTACAGTGGTGGACACGGAAATTTAGACATCAAATTTATGTCAGTTTAAAAAATGTCAATGTAAGCCCTGCTTTATTGTCATTATAATCAGGGCCGTACCCAAAGGGGGGAATTAGGGGGTTGAAACCCCCCCTCCCCTCGAAATGCTCATCACTTTGTTGTAGTGTTATAAGTGTTATAACTTTTCAAATTTTTTTGTTATTTTAGTGTTAATTTTAAATTTTTGTGAACTAATGTTTCATGTGTTAATTATACAGTTTGAGACAAATTACTTTGGTCGTCAATGTCACTTGAGTGACATTAAATTGTAAAGCATACTTTAGCCACTGTCAATCATAGTTGACAAGTTGTATGTACATATTTTTGATAGGAAAATACATCAGCTGTCATTAATTTGAAATTGTCATTCATTTTAACGTTAAAGCTTGAATTACATTAAAGTGTCAGAAAAGTGACGACCAAAGTATTTTGTCTCCAACTGTACAGTGTTTCATTTTTATTGTTAGGTACAAATTTAAATAGATAATAGAATATTTAATTTTAAGACAAAAGTGTTTCGAAAAATGCTATGAAAGGGAGCTACACCCCCTAAAAAGATACGTTTTTTAAAGAATGTTTCCTAATATTTCAGAATAGATAAAATTACAAAATTTGGTACAGCCGATAACCTTTATATGTAGTACACCCAAACAAATGCCAAATAACAAAATTTTTAATCAGGGACGTCCTAAACGGTAAAACAAATTTAATTTTTAATTTTTATGCTGTTTATGATTTGTAATATAAATTTTTAAACCGATTTTTGCTAAAAAT